TAGAATACAAAAATTCCGAATAAAATTAAAGGTTCTGAATAAAATAAAGGGTCCTTTCTAAAGTGGCTAAAACGTGTATTTATTGGTAAAAATATTTCGGGTAGAAATCCCTGGCAAAACCAAGTCAAATTAGGAAACATTGATAATTTCATTTTTCTTGTCGGTTTAGCCAGATTGACAGGTCTTCACGAGAATTAGTGTAACTTTCTGACCGTTAATCCAAATAATTTGAAACTTCTTCTTGATTAAAGCTGACTCAATTTTATATCTTGTGTCCAAATTTCATATCAATCCAATAATATTAAAATCTCCAGCGATTGTTCTACATATGACGCTTTAGAACTGTAAAAAATATATTCTTTCATCATCTTTTTGTCCAATGGACCTGTAAAAGACTCTAAACACTACAAACACATTAAAACTACCACTTAAAACATAAAACCGCATAAAAACCATTAGATAGAATAATAAAAACCATATCAAAAACATATTATTTCGTTATAAAAGTGGTCTTCTGACCAGCGAGATGATCAGAAGTTGGTCGGAAAGAGACTAAAGTCCTAAAGAATCGAAAGGAAGAAACGCAAGTGTTTGTGGTATGGTTATGAAATTTAAGAGATAAGTAGATAAATTGTGGATCCCTTCTCTTGTAGAAGAGAAATGTATTTAAATTTTTTATTTGCCCGGACTAAGATATCAAATTACACGTCCTAGGTCAGTTAGACTTTGGATCTATCGGCATTGACTTGTATGATGCATTCAAGTAGTTTTCACCTAACATCTTTGTATTTATGTACCAACATTAAGGTCTCGAGGTGCAGAGTAACACATTTTTCATACGAGGTGCAACACATAGTGCGATGGATCAAGCGCCGAAAGGCCTTTTACAATAAAGTTTGTTTACTTTAACCATTTCATGGAGCAAAGGGTAGTAGTTTTTTTTTTTTTGCAACCTATTGTTTTTCATTAATTTAAACATCGATCTTACATCCATTCATAACACGGTACATGAAAGCATTAAAACTTAAAGCTGAAGAAAGAAGATAATTATAAGACAGCGAATTAAAAATAATTTCTTGATGCGTCGGTATAAAGCCCACGGCTAAGCTGGAAAACATAAGTTTGGTCACATTGAGTCGTGACGTTGGAAGACTATCCATATCTTCGATTGCATCCTCAGGTCCGGTATAGACCGCTACATAAGAATACAAACGGTTAGGAAAGTGCTCGGTTTTGATTCCGAGAATGATCTTCCTCTCGAATAGAGAAGAGAAGGTGGGAAAGTTCTCTCCCAGAGGGAGTAATATACAGGATTTGAGAATCCAGAAAACTGTGGTCTTTTCTCAATAGAATAAATATCATCAATAAGACTACATGATTTGAGAATCCAGACAACTTTGCTCTTCTCCAAAAAGAGAAGAGATCGAGGTCAACCAAAATCTTGGAATTGAATACTATGCTCATCATAGCCATCCTTGAATAATCCATGATGAGAAATCGGTTGAAAACCCACAAAGAATCATTATCAGAATCTGGCTGATCTTGGTTAGAGGATGGTCCCAGCAGGTATAATCTTATTGGGCTAGCAACCACCACACTTAAAATACAAAAGTCGTGGAGGAGTTTAACCTCGACAACAATAATACTGCATACTTCATTAAAGGGTTGCACGAAGGCAAAGGGTTTGTCACCAATGGACAAAAGAGTAGAATCACAACACAATGAAGAAGAAACACGGTCTGGGAAAGCTTTGCTCAGACTTAGAATGTGGAAAAACTGAAGTGCACATGGGGCAAAGAGTAGGCTGGGAACCCATGCTCGACTAGGAAGAGTGATGGACTCAAGGGGTTAGCCTTTGAAAATTGAAACTCACAGAGAGGAAGAAACATCAGACTTCCGAAATCTAAAGTGAACCGATGCAGAATTTGCAGAGCACACGGTAGAAAGGCGAGGGGAGTAGTTGGATTAGACAGATCCAAGAGATCCAACGTATCCAAATGAGGAGATTCGAAGTCGAGAGCAGCCTTGGTGAAGGTCGGATGGAAGAGAGCTTTTTATTCTTTTTGACTGAGAGGAGCAGCGGCGAGGGATGACGAGGCAAAGACGAGCGATGTAGAGGACGCGGTGGATAACAGTGAGTGACTACAAGGGGAGATGACGCTCCGACGAGACAACAGGAACATTGACATCAAAAATCGAAACAAGACAAACGAAAGCAAAAGAGAAAACGACGAGGAAGATGAAGAACTTTGCCAAGGCTTCTCTCATGGCCTGAGGCCGGAGAAAAGCTCGACTCAAACACTAGGCGAGAGGCGGGTCACCGAAGGAGGAAGCCGGAGAAGCTGCGCCGAACCGGAGGCGATGTGATCGGAGAAGAAGACTTGAGATGCGGTGCTTTGGTAAACGGGCCCAAGAGAAAATATTTTAGGGCGAATTCTGTTTTGTCCTCGTAAGTTTTGTTTATAAAGGGTAGTAGTTTTACCTATCAAATGTGAAAGATAAATAATATTAAACTTTTGAACAAAGACTAATCCAAATGTATTTGAATATTTTGAAGTTCGAGCTTAGAGAAGAAAGGAAATACATACATAACCCTAGTTTTTGTTACGGAAACCCAAGCTTTATGTCATGAACAAATTTATGCATAC